GGGCGGACTGTGGCCTGGGGAGACCAGCGCTGGCTGAAGGGGAGTCCTGCCCCTGTGGATGATGCTCAGCGTCCCTCCTGCATCCCTGGGTGATGCTCAGCGTCCCTCCTGCATCCCTGGGTGATGCTCTCCCCCTCCTGGTGCCATCCCTGCCTGGAGCAGGAGCAGCGCAGGACCCCGCTGTGCACACCATGGGGACACCCTGGTTCCATGGGCAGCCAAGGGCTCCCTGTGCTCTGCTCCCCATGGATGTGCCATGGAGCAAAGGCTCACGTGTGGCTCCTCCCAACTGAGCTCACCCTGCGTCAGTCGTATCCTCACCTCTTGGTTGCTGGGTTTGTCTCCGGAAGGGAGGAGCAGGGCATTTATTTAATGAAAAAACCTGCATTAAGTCGATTAATTTCTGAAGGAGTGAATGCTTTGAACTGACGCACCAGTTCCTGTTTAATCCGCTTTAGGATCTTGCCATTGTAGGGTCAGACAGACTTGTTTTCCTTACAAAGTGTATTTCCTGTGTGCTCTGTGCAGCTGAAGAAAGGAATTGTAGGAGCAGTTTAACTCCCCTTGTGAGCAGTGACTTGCTCTGCTTTGATTCAAGCCAATGGCTCCAGCCTTTTCTCCATGCAGAAAGGAACCCCTTCCACAACCAGAAACGAAGCCCTGTGGGAGCCAGGAGCCCATCGAGCTCTTCTGGGTCCCCCTCCTCAGGAAGGTGCCACCTCTTGGTCCCCTTGTGCTTGGGCTTCCCCAAGGAGATGGCTGGAGGAAGGCTGGTTTGGCGATGCTCGATTGCAGCCTGCTGTTAATTGCATTATAATTAGGAAATACTCCTCAAAACAAGCTGCTGGGGTGGACACACAGGGTACCTGGCCCTTGTGCGGCTCACAGGGTGAGCCTGTGCTGGTGCCTGTCACATCTGCACTGGTTGGGGTGCAGTGAAGGTAAATCAGCTTTATTTGATCCAAAACTTCATCATTGTGTTATGAACAAGCGCTTGACTTCAGGAGAGCTGCCCTGGCTTTCCCTTCCACTCATGGGTGCACCGTTGGCCTGAGTCCGTGCTGGTCCACGTTCATTACTCGTGTGTGTAGCGAGGCTGCAGCCATGTCCAGAGCACAGTGGTTCAATGTAGTGGTTCAATGTAGTGGTTCTCGCCATCTGGGAGAGCATTTTTAACAGAAAGCTGAAGTTTTCCAGCAATGAAGTGGGAGATAGGAGTGACCTCCTGTTGCTCCTCCTGAACACGCTGACAGATGCCTTTGTCCCCAGCGCTGTCCCTGTCCCTTGCACCGGGTGGGTGCTGGGCTTCGTGTGCCTTTTTTGGTGCTTCCTTCCTCCGAGTGTGAAATCACGAAGCGGAGCCGCTCCAAGGGCTGGCTGCGACCTCCTCCACGCGGAAACGCACTTCTTCCTGTTTAGACCAAACATTCCCGGGCTGCAGTCTGTCTCTATGGGGTCAGTTTGGGGCAAAAACCTGTTGGGGGGTATTCTGCCAAGTCCGTGGACCTCCCGAAGGCTTTGGGAGGTGTAAGATCAGAAGGCTGCAAGGGAGCCTGTGGTGCGCTCTTGACAGTCTTGCCATTCCCCAGGAGGTAGATCAATGGATCATCAAACTTACGCCTTACCCGCAGTCAGCTGTATTGACCACAGGTAACAGGGCCATCCCAGGCTCTTAGGAGCAGGATGATTTTGCTAAATACTGAGGAGTTTATGATCCTGACTGCCCTTCTGTGGGATGCAGGATTAGGGCTGATGTTCATGGTGTACTGCTCAACTCTGGAGATGGTTTGGATGCTGTGCGATCATCCTGCACCCGGTGTTGGCGTTCCTGGTTTATTGTGCTCTGCTTGTGAGTCCCAAAGCCCCACCGTGAGGGGTTTTAAAGGTGTGTGACCTTTTGCTCAGCAGCAGCAATCCTGCGTGTCCAGAGCATGGGGCTGAGCCTGTGTCCTGTGCTTCGACCCTGAGCTGGTCACACTTGGACTGGCTCAGTGAATTGTGTTTGGAGCGTGGTGCAGCGATGTCTTGTGAGTGAACGGTGTAAGAGTAGATCTCCACACCCTTTTCCATTCATTTCTGTATCACTGTCATTGCACGTGTCTCCTGGTTCCTTCACTCAACCTTGAAGGCAAACAGACGCTGCCTTTCAGCTCTTTGAAGGCTTCCACTGCACAACCCAGCTCACAGGGCCAGCACAAGCACCCCCTGCATCAGGGTACGGAGGAGGACTCCTCTCTGTGGCGGTTTTGCCAGGCACATCCCTCTCTGGTCCGTGCATCTTCTCAGGCCCATCTCCTGCCCTTGGTCTCCGTGGCTGGTGTCTGGCAGGGTAACACATCACACGTGGGTGGCTTTGGTACCTGTTTGTAGCTGTGATTTGGAGTGCGTTGTTGTGCCCGTCCAATTCAGAACCAGCATCTCATGGGGTTCAAGGGGAAGGGGCTGTCCCTTGTCCCTGGAGACAACGTGAGAAGGTGGCACGGCTGCTCTGCCTCTTCATTACCAGTCACCAGGGCGCCGTGGCAGTGGGCGACGTCTTGAGCAGTGGCGGGTGCTCAGCAGAGCTCTGGAGGGGAAGATAATCCTGTTTTATCCGTTGCGTCTGAAGAGCGCGGGCAGGCGTTCCTCACGCGGCTCCGTCCGCAGGGACCCGTGGCAGATTAACCTGCAGTGACCCTCCCCGCGCCGCCCTTAGGGCACACACAGCGGGATCATCGCAAAAAAAAAGGCAGGTCGTATCGCGTCCCTGCCTTCACTTCGGGTCTGTTCCCACCTGAGGAGATTCCCAGCGCCTCGGCTCCGCTGTGCTGGGCTGATTTAACTCCTGGCACTATCAGAGGCAGTGCCAACCGCAGTAACCTCTCATCTTTGCTCTCCGCAGGGTAGCAGAGGAGGAGCAGAGCTGTTCTCCAGAGGGTCTCGGCGCTGTCAACACCCCGGGCGCTCCGTGCAGGCAGGGGACGGGCTGCTCTGGGACCGCGCCGCTTCCACCCGGCACGGGACGGCACCGCCGCGCGGGGCCAGGAGGCTCCTCTGGTGCGAGGCTGGCGGGGAAGGCTGAGGATTCATCTTACCTGGAGCCGGAGTGGGGCAAGTCATAGGGCAACGAACGGGGAGAACAGCCAAAACCACAACTTCGAATGTATTTATTACGTGAAAGTTAGCTATTCTTGATAAAAATCCCAAAAATTATTGCTGCTGCTTATTTTACTTACAGATTTCACACGGTTGTTAATTTTAAAGTTACCAAACTTGTACTCTGAGAAATGTATCGGAGCGGGACATGCAATAGAACGAACTCCTTGTAGTGTCTTACGTACACCGGACTCACTTTTGTGTCTATTAAAACTTGGAAAATGTGCAACACAGAGCTCCGTGGCTGCCGTTGCCTGTGTCCGAGCTTTTTCATGTCATTCCCTGCAGAGCTCAGAGATTTGGTGTTTTCAGGTGTGTGCACAAGCAGTGCCTGGGTTCGTGTCCCAACCCCTGCTTTCGGAAGCCCCCTCTGAGAGCAGGCAGTGCAGCTGTGGCCGGTGCTGTGTTGAGGTGGGGGTTGACCTGATGGCTCCCACCGGAGTTAATTAACGTGAATGAACTCCTGTGTTCACCCCTGCTTAACGAGCGTCCTTTAAGGCCCCTTGGGCACGTGTCGTTGGACAGAAAAGCATCTTCACCCTTACACGTGGCCAGAAGTGATTAGTAATTGAAATCCAGAAAACAACACACCACTTTTCTGCCAAATGTGGGTTTACAAACTGAAGTGATCTATGGGCAAGGCTTTTGGAACTGTCCGTTAACTGCTTTGGTTTGCATTAGTCTAGCTCTCCCTTGGATTCCCCCGGTGTAGAAACGTGGATTTGTGGCAGTCTGTGGCTTCTGATGCTGGAGCAGACGTTGAGCGTGGTCCCTGCGAGGTAAGGTGGGGTTGCTGCAGGTCCTGCTCCCTGTGTGCTGCTCCTCTGCTGTGATGAGCCATCATTGGAGCAGAGCAACGCGCGGATCGGGAGGCGCCCGAGCTCGCGTTCTCCTGGTTCGTACCCTGGTCTTCCCCTTTCTGGTTTCCAAGAAGAGTTCAGCACCAAACCCCCTTCTGCTGCACCTCCCTCGCAGGAGCAGCCCGTGAGTCTTTCGTGTTTCTCCTAAAACAGCTGGGAGGCTGCGGCACGAAGCGCCCGGCCGACACGCGGCGCTGAAGCAGGACATCTGTCTCCCCAGACCGATTTTGGCCACCTCTGCAAACAAATCAGTGAGCTTCCTGTTTTCCCAGCAAGAAAGGGCAGCAGTGTGTGGGGAGGGAGGCGTCCCCGCGCCCTCTGTAGCGCCTTTGTGCGGCTGATGTTTACCTGGGCACCCCCTGCCCATGCCGTGGCAGAGATGCCCCAGCGCAGCGAGCACTGACGAGGAGCACAGCCCTGCCTTTCTCTGCCCGTCTGCAGGGGCTTCTCTGGGGGATTTCTTCCTAGCATCTTCTGGAGCGAGGCCCGGGGTGAGCTGGTGGCTGTGTGAGACGGTTTGCTGCTCGCACAGCTCCTTATTGCACAAAATCACTGCCGAGAAGTGGTGTGCAGCTTTCTGGCTGTAGCGTTACAGCGGTGAGCTGAAGGGAGTTACAGGCAGCCTTCTGTTCTCTTAAAGTTGTTTTAAAAAGGCACAGAACAAAAATACCAGCCCCGTGCTGAGGAGAAGTGCTTGTCTGCTCCCATCTCCAGTGAGGGGCTGCTCTGGGCTGCAGGAGGTGCCAGGAGCAACAGGGACCATCTCCAGGGATGGCTCGTAGGTGTCCAGGCCTCAGGGACATCCTTGGGACCGGGTGCTGCTCCGGGTGCCAGGGATTTGGGTGCCTGGCACTGAGGATGCCGGCTTTCCCCTGGGACATGAGCTGGACTGGGAAGGTAAGGTCCTGGAAGGCTGGATGTGGTCCCCAGGACAGAGGTGTTCAAGAGGGGACGTCTGGGATGGTTTGTCATCATATTTGTCGTGATGTTTGGCTCGGATAAGAACCCCATACAGCTGTTCTGCCAGATGTTGAACCGCATGGTGCACACCTCCTGCCTCCATCGCCACCCTCATTTCGTGGTGGCACAGAGCGGTCGTGCTCCTCAGTGCTGGTGCAGGAGCAGCTGTGGTCCCAGCCCAAACCTTCCCTTGGTCTGCAGGTCCTGCCCATCCCCATCACCAAGGGCGTACCTGGCCCGACGTGACCAGGGCTGGTTTGCTCCCTTTTCTCCACAGGGGAAGGTGACCAGGGCTGTGTGCCCCCTTTTCTCCATAGGGGAACGTGACCAGGGCTGGTTTGCTCCCTTTTCTCCACAGGGGAAGGTGACCAGGGCTGTGTGCCCCCTTTTCTCCATAGGGGAACGTGACCAGGGCTGGTTTGCTCCCTTTTCTCCACAGGGGAAGGTGACCAGGGCTGTGTGCCCCCTTTTCTCCATAGGGGAACGTGACCAGGGCTGGTTTGCTCCCTTTTCTCCACAGGGGAAGGTGACCAGGGCTGTGTGCCCCCTTTTCTCCATAGGGGAACGTGACCAGGGCTGTGTGCTCCCTTTTCTGCCCACCCCTTTGTGTCTGCAGCATTTGTCTTTGGTATAACCCCAAACCTGCACCATTTGGCTTTGATATGACCAAAACCTGCACCATTTGGCTTTGATATGACCCAAACCTGCAGCATTTGATAACCAAGCCCAGCACAGAGCCGAAACAAAACCTGTGGCACAGAGCAGACCCCACTGTGGGGCTCGGGGAGGGAAGGGGGTTTGGTTTTCCTCATTGGAAACCCCGGTTGTCGCTGTGTGGGGATGCAGCCCTGGCCCTTTGGTTCATGGCTTCCCCTGCCCCATCATCTCGGGGATCCTGCAGGGTTTTAATTAGCACATGAGCTAATGAGCAGGTTGCCATCAGGCGTTGCTGGCTTTGCTGCAGGAATCCTGGCACGGTCCTTGCACGGTGACCGGTGATGCAGTTGGTACAGGGACATCGCAGGCACAGACGTCCCCATCAACGAGCTCTGAAGACGAATCCTCTCATTGCTGCAGCCTCTCCAAGCCACGTTTATTTATAATTTCGGCAGCTGAAGCTCCGTCGCTCATGAAAAATTGAGTTTTCCCAGGCTCGGCTGGTGAGTCACTGCGCTGCAGAGCTCATCCTGGGTCTGCTGCGCGTCGCCCGCTGGCAGAGTGGGCTGGGAAAACGCCCGTTTTGGGTGGGTAATTTTAGAATTTGGGTCCGTTCCCTGGCAGGGAGGGTGCGAGCGGCTCAGAGCCGCCTGTGTGGGTGTGCGCTGCTCACCCGGGTGCATTTTAAAGCACCCAGACAAGCGGTGCTGCTTTATCTGGTTATGGCCAAGTGTGAGTCCCAGTGCTGTGAGGATGCTCGGGGATTCAGGGTAACTGGGTGCGGGTCCCAAATTCGCTGGGTTGCGCAGTGGGGTAGCGGCTCTGGTGATGGGTGCTGGGGATGAAGTGTCCTGGGTACCAGGGGGCTGCCCAAACACTTCACGGCCAATTTACAACTGGCAGGGCAAGCAGCAGTGAGGGTTTGGGGGACAGTCACTGCTTTAGCCATGGCGGGGTTTATCCTGTTCCGGAAAGTTGACTTTTCAACATAATGCCTGGTGATCTGGAGTTCCATGGCACTAAACCAACTTGGGAACCATTTTATTGGCTTTGTTTGCTGTGATTTCAGTATTTAAAGAAGTATTTTGCTTCCGTTATTGGCCTTTCTCTGCACTGAAACTGGACAGTCACTGAATTCTGCCCTGCGCGGTGCTGGATGCATAAAGCAGAGGAGACCAGGAGCTTGCAGCCCTGCACACCAGCACCTCCTACGCAGGAAAGCTAAGGCCTGTATTAAAGGGGGATTAAACCTCTTCTCTAATTGCACTGCCTTTGCCCTTTGCGGTGCCCGGTCCCAGTGCCACCTCCTTGAAGGGTCTGGGGCAGGGCCCCACTGCTGCTCTCACGGGGGCAGCTGTGCACCTACATTTAATTCATCACTATTTCAAGGTTAAGCTGTTCTTCCCATCACAGATGATAATTACCAGCTGTAATTAATGTTTTGCCCCCCCTCCCATTACAGATACCGGGGATTAGTTATGATCAGCCAATTAGGATCATAATTGCACAAGCATGTGCTTTTCTGGGTAGCATCGTTAGCGCTTCCCTTATTAGGAAGCACTGACGTCTCTGGGACGTGCAGACGAGGTTTCTGTTTAGAAAAGCAGTTTTTGTGCGGGGCTTTGGGGTTTTCCCTCACAAACAGAGTCCCTGTGTCCTGGTCCACGTCGTCTGTGGCTGCAGAGCGGGAGCGTGGCCAGGAGGGGGGGCTGCCGCGTTTGGGAGCGATGGGTACGGCAGCCGCTCATTTGGAGATGCTGCACGGCTGCTGCAGAGGGGAATCCAGACACGTTTCACCCCGAGACAGAATCACAGCATCACTGAGGTTGGAAGAGACCTCTGAGATCCCCCAGTCCAACCCAACCCAACCCCACCATGGCCATAAACCATGTCCCCAAGTGCCACATCCACCACTGCTTGAGCCCCTCCAGGGATGGGGACTCCACCACCTCCCTGGGCAGCCCAGTCCAGTGTTCACCCGCTCTTTAAGTCAATAAATTCCTCCAAATATCCAACCCAGACCTCCCCTGGCACAACTTGAAGCCTTAGGGCACCCAGGTGAATGTTCCTGCTGGTCACGACTGAAGGTGGACATGGAAGGTGCTGCTGGGCGGTTGTGTTGTGATGGTGCAGAGCAGCCTGGAGAAACTGAAAATACAGAGAAGCGAGGTCGTGCAATGGGAACACAATAAGAAATGCATTCCTGTGCAGTTGGGGTGTTTTCCTGCCCAGAAGATGCGTTCTCCACACTCAGATTCACTGTGGGCTGGGGGCGGCGCTGCCAGCGCAGGGCCCGGCCGTG